TTAGCATCAAAAGGTTTTTTACCTGGTGTTTCAAAATATAGTTGGTAAATTTATTATATATTTGATTATAACAGATACTCTTTCAAATTTATTTTCAAAAATAAAAAACGGTTACTTAGCAAAAAAATCAAAAATAATACAGCACAAATCAAAACAAAGTATAAATATTTTAAATATTTTAGTTAAAGAAGGTTTTATAAAAAGTTATAAAATAAATTCAAAAAATCAATTAGATATTTATTTGAAATATAAAAAAAATAAAGCAGTTATTACTGGTATAAAACGTTTATCTAAACCTGGAAAACGTTTATATATAACTAATAAAGATTTATATAAAAAAAAAACAGGATTTTATATTATTTCAACATCTATAGGTATTTTAACTGATTTACAGGCTAAAAAATTAAATGTAGGTGGTGAATTAATTTGTAAAATTTTTTAAAAAAAAATATGATTAAAATTTTAAAAAAAAATATTAAATTTAAAAATAAAAATTTTCTTAAAAGTCCTTTAGGAAATATTCAACTTTTTTTTATAGATAAAACTTTTTTTTTTCCAAAAAATATAAAAATTTCTACTACAAATAAAACAATTTTTTTTGAGACATCTTTAGGTTTATTATCTTTAACATTTATTGATAATATTTATTTTTTTTTAATAAAAAATAAATTATTAATAAATGTTAATATTAATAAAAATAAAAAAAGTATTTTACATTTATATAATAAATTAATTAAAATTAAAATAAAAGGTGTTTTACAGGGTTTTAAAATTAGTTTACTTTTAAAAGGTATAGGTTTTAAAGCTTTTATTGAAAATAATAATCTAATTTTGAAATTAGGATTTAGTCATAATATTATAATACCAATTCCCTCAAACATTGAAATTATTAATCAAACAAATATTCAACTCGTATACTGAGCAGCAGGCGCTGAGTACTTTCATCAACCATGCTTACCCTCGCTTCCGTGTTGATCTGGAAGCCAAACTTGATCAAGAAGCGGAGGACGCTACCGGAGAACTTGAAAGCGCTGTGGTCCTACTGACCAAACTAGCCAAAAGTGATGGAAAAATTAACCCTAACAAGCGACGCAGCGAAGATTTTAGCCGAGATGGCAGTGACAAGAAACCCCGAATTAGCGGAAGCGCTTCAGCTACTACTGCCAAGGCCCCTAGGCCCCGTTGGGACTTCTCAGACGCTTTGTGCAAGACATGCAATGAACGAGGTCACACGACAAACTACCACGATCGTCATATCGCCCAGCAAGCCCGTAGCCGTGAAGTTCAAGGCGAACAAAACGAAAGCCATGATTGAAGACACGGGGTGTTGACGGACACCGAGTTATTTCCGTTTGACCCTGGAACGCAAAAGTTTCCGCTGTACATTGACTCGGCAGCTTCTCACCACATGACTGGGGAAGCGAAGCTGCTGACTAATCTACAGCAATGTGCAACTCACGAGGTGGAACTTCCGGATGGGCATGTTATGAAAGGTGATCGATGGGGCTCACTGGTCAATTTTGGGACTCAAGGGACCAAAATTGACGAAGTAGTGTTTATACCAGGTCTAGAGAAAACTCTACTTTCAGTATCAAAACTATCTCAGCGTGGCTTCAAGTGTGACTTTACTGAAGATGGGTGTGTAGTCTACGGCTCTCCGCTCCTCCGAGGAAAGATGATTAACGGAGTTTATGGCTACCAAGAAGAAAGTAATATCAGATTGAGTGCAGAAGATGGTGTGTCAGCGGCAACGACGTCTTCAGCGACCATGATCCCTCCAAACTCACTTGAGGACT